AAATTTGCAGTTTAAATCTATTTACAGCACACCAGTAATGAGGGGCCACTAGGGTTGGCACATGAAAAATTCATATTTCAATCTGATCAGGTACAGCAGATTGTAACACCAGTCAATCCTGAGGTAAATAAAAGATTGAAACATAGCATGACTGAGACCAGGCTGGCCTGGTCAGATACATTGTCATTGGAAAGTGACACTAACTTTGAAAGATAAGCCTCATTTACTAACGGAGTAAGGCTGGTTCATCCTGTAATCTTGCTTCATGAAATACCCTTCAGTTTTTTTAGTGAGTAAAAAACAATAACAAAGAGGCATCCACTTGCTTCCAAACAACTGTGAATGTCTTTTCTCTCTGCGTGATGCTGCCCCTATGTGGTCAGAAAAAGAACTGTGTCTAGTACATATTGTACTGTATCAAAAGAGGGTGTGTTTAGTTTCACCAAAACCATCACACCCTTAAAGTGCACTGTATATGCACACTGACACACACTCAAAATGCTGATCAAAATCATCTCTCAATATTCCATTATATTGTACTGACCTCAGCTCAGAGGCAGAAAACACATTACTGTGAAGTGGTAGTTTCTCACACTCTGTATTTTGCACAAATTGTTTGAGCTGTAACATGATGGGCTAAAATTGCTTTGCACCCATCATAACACATAATGTATAGATGAATAATTCATTGAGCTTGTGAACACCTGAAAGATTTAAAATGTACTCTGGAAGGTACAAACTCCTAGCTTGCCACTAGAGGGAACCAGACACCACAAGAAAAATAAGATTACATTAGATCAGATTCAAATTTATTGTCATCGCACAGTACCGGTGCTGAGACGACAAAATGCAGTTTAGCATTTAACCAGAAGTGCAGAGTAATTTGCATATTTATAGAATAAACAGTAAGGGGTAGAAATGAATTTGGATATATGCACTATGAAGAAGAAGCTATAGTGCAGGTACAAGTACAAGTAATGGCAATAATGAGACATTATTTACAAAATAAACAGCGGGAGTATGATATGGATACACTGTGTACACCATGGATTAGATACATGCAGTATAGACAGTAGTATAAATTTGAATACGCAATAAAATAACTTAACATCTACATTTGTGCATGTAAATGAAGTTTAATATCTATAGAGTTTCCATTTCTTTGTGGAACAGTAAGTGTATTTCTGTGTTTCAACATTATAATTACCAACATTACTTACTACTTCTGGCTGGGAAACTGACACTCATGAAGGATAAATCAAATATTTTCTTGTAAACACACACACACACACACACCCACCCCCCTCACTCACTCACTTTCTCTTCCCCTCCTATTACTGGGCTTTTACTGCCCATCCCTAATCCATTAGGCACAAACAAACACAACCAACTGTCCACATTTGGATTCATGCGCGCATATGAGATGGTGTGTACAGTTTGTGTGTGTGCAGGTCAAACAGGAGTGTTTGCTTTTTCCTGACATTTTGATCAGCTCTACCTTTTGTGCTATCTTGTGTGTTTAAAGCCTCCATCTTTCGCTGGTGTATTCCGTGTTTAAGGTTTGACAGGATTATGACAATTACAATTATGATTAATCACAAAAATAAATGAAAAACAGGTTAATGATGTCTCTAATTCAGACATATTCTAATGGACTTTTCTTTTACTGTTGCAGGTCAACAGTTCAACTTTTTAATTTTTGTGTTGTTACATGCATGTTTCATGGTTCCCATGGATCCTTGAAATCCTTGAATGTTTGTGAATTTGAGGAAAAACCATATACTTACGAGACATACGGTAAATAGACATGGGTCATAGAAAAGTGCTTGTTGAAGTTTCATGATTGTGTGCACTAGGCAGTTTGCTGCAGGCAGTAATAGCATTTGACAGAGATAAAAGAAAAACAGCAGTGACTGGAAAAGGAGCAGATAATTATCGAGTAAGCAAAAAAACTGGTATCTTTGCTGCCTACCCCACATCTAGAGCCTGACGTTATCCCTTAGTATGCTGTTTCTTGTCAAGCAGAAACACTGGCTGAGATGTCACTGTAAAGACACCACCAGAGACAGAAAGACTTAAACCTTTTAACAACAGTGTCTTTTGTTAGGCTAGTTTTAAATTTCTGATCCATGTACAGACAAATCACCTGCTGTTAATCCCAGATTCAGGATGGACAGAAAGCATTTAAGGGCTAGCACATTTAATTCATAAGCTCCTCTTACAGATGGAGATAATGAAGGATTAGTCAAATAAATCCTATCTGAAGTCACTCTGACTGATGACTTATTATGGTGCAGTAACTGGAGTTTGGCCTGTGATAAGCCTCAGACATTTTGGGCGGGAGTTTCTCTACTTAATGGAACATTTCACTTTAAGCATGTTCTGTTTTTAAGGCTGTTTGAGCATGATTCACAATAAACTGAGTGCACCTAAAGACTGTGAATGGCAGGCAGGAGGAAACAACGTGCACTTTAGGCACCCAGTTAATACTGTTTAAAAAAAAGGACGTACAGTGAATAAGCAATAGTGATAGAATTCACAACTGTAAATTAACAAACTGGATCCCTTGCAAGTTTAAACAGATTAATAGCTCCTAAACATATAGTATTAGTTTAACCTTTAACAGCTGCAGTGTGTGGCTGTGCAGTCTGAGGCGACATCTGCTGCCCGTGGTGGACTTGGTAAGTCTGTGAAATTCCAGTCCCTTCTACTTATTGCACTATTGTACAATTGTATCCTCCTATAGCTACACTATTAGGTTTGAGTAGTATTTTACTTTTTAAAAGACTAGTGCCAGTAGGATGTCAGGGGATCACCAAACTCAGTAGTATTCATCCACTGGGGACCGTGGACGTCTGTGCGAAGTTTCAATCTGTTCAGTAGTTGTTTAGATATTTCAGTCTAGACCAGAGGGGTTGAGCAACTGACCTACATTGCCATCCTTAGAGCTGCTACACTAAGTTTACAATACTCTGTGCTACAGATGCATTTTAGCTAGAGGTTTGATACCCAGCCTTAAAAGTTACTACAACTGCTCTTCCTTAGAAAAGTGAATGAGAATATTATCTTAATCATCCTATAATCTTTGGGAGATTAGCAAGAGTCACGCCTTCTTTACAATATTACACACAGTCACCGTGTACAATAAAGTGTTTGTTCACACTACAGTTAATGCCATTCAAGTCAGGTCCAAGTGTCCATTCACTCATTGGCTCATACCCAGAGGGAAATATCTGGGGCACAAACTGTAGAGGAGTTTGGCTGTAACACTTAAAGGTTACGTTAGTGTAACATACAAAACACATGCCAGTAGGCTATGTGACATTACCACATCTCCTGTGACGCCGCTTATAAATCATCCTCTGGCATACTGCATACATTAAATAAAATATGTTGGGTCTCATTAGGTCATCTCACGGTAAAAAAACAAAATAGGTCAAACATGTAGTTTGAGAAACATTACATATCAGGTTGTTTGTACTGAGACATCCTCTCCTTCCTCCTCTCCTCTTCTCTCCTCTTTGTTATTGTCATTTTGTGGGTGGGATCTGCCTTTCCAAGTAGCCAATTACGGCTCTCTCACATCTCGGACAGCCAGTAGCAAGCCTGCTCTGCTGTCACATGTCCTTGTCACGGGTTACAATCTCATCACCTCTCCCATATTGTTAATATTCAAAGGCTGCAGTCTACAGACATGAGCTCATAGCAGCACTCATCTTACTCACACACATATTGGAAACCCAAAATGAGACATAAGCACATGCAGAGATGCACGGATCTCAAACTGTAAATTACAGTTTTGGGATAATTTTTGGTACATCGAGGAAAAACATTTCAGATCTTCTAAGAAGGTCTTGCAAGATTGGTGTCTGATATTATTTCATCAGGCTTTGTTACGTTCGAGTGTCATCACCTCAGGCAACAATCTGGATTTTTTGCTTCTCATTAATTTAAAGCTGTTGGGTAGTTGAAAGTAGGTAATTGCAAAGATATTATGGCATACCCTTAAGGTATGCATATGTGAGTATATCTGTTTATTATGAATAATACATTAGGATCTTAATAATTGATCCATTTGTGCACAGCAGCCTGCATGCACCTTTCCTTTATTTCTCAAATGGAAGTGAAAATATTTGTGTTTTTTTTTTCCTATTCATTGTTTTGAATTAAAACATTTAGGTATATAGTATAAATGTCCTCCTTCACCCTGCATCAGTTCTGTTATACAGGATTCTCTTTTGGCTAGCAAAGACAAAAACTTTGAAAAAAAGGTTTGACTATTTCTATTCACTTAAAGCAAAGCAATGCTGATTTTCATTCAGTTAATTTAAAATGTTGGCCTCTCCCTGTGGAAATGTAACAGGATATATGCTCACAATGACAATGCCATTCGCCATTAGTATGTTTGCATGTTTGGTATCAAACGTCATGGCAATCCATCCAGTAGTTGTTGAGACAAGTTCAGCCAAATGGATAATGGTCATAAATTTTTGGAGCTATTCTCAATTTGACCAAATGAGATTCAGACAGTTCTTGAAGATTGAAAACTGTGATGAAATTAAATTTAGGTCAGTAAGAGATTCACCATTTGGTAATTTGATCGTCAACTCTTGTTTTGGTACGACCGTGACCAAGAAGGGAAGAACATTAGGGATCGTGACAGCGAAGAGGTTGGGTGAGGCTGTTGAAAGAAGTTTCATAACGTGAGCATCATGGCTGCACACTTACCGCTGGACACCCAGCATGCATATGGTACTGTATGTACCCTGTGTGAAGTATCAGCCTCCCTTTCTCTCGCTTTATCTCTCAGCCATAGCCAGCTGGTACTAAGCAGAGGTATTCATCCAACCCTTTATTTCTGCTGTCCCAGCTGCTCTCTATACCTCTCCCTCCCTCCCTCCCTCCTCTTCCTCCACCTCCTCCTCCTCCTCCTATCTCAACCTCCTTTCCACTGTCATTTCCATCCTGTTCACATGTCCCGGCGAGACGTTACGGACTGAGCGTGTGTGTGTACATAGAGGATGGCTCAGTGCTCAGGTGCAGTCAGCGGGATCTGGGAACCAGTCAAGCAGGCAACAGGACCAGTTTATTTACCCGGACGACAGAGCACTCTGCTGGGCTAGTGGCTGGAGCTTGAGCCCCTTCTTGGACCTCCAACCCTGGAGCTCTACTATCAAATCTGTAACTGAGCAATTTTTATACATTATTCTTAATCAAGTGAACAATTTCACCAGACTGTGGATAATACAAGTCAATTTTCTATCTCCTATAATTTGCACTTGCTTTGCACTTTGATCATTGAACAGTGGAAGCAGCAGCCTTCACAGGTGGAGCTTGAGGAGTTGAAACGGAGGAGTTTGTCATGTCTCTGTACTGCTCCATACTGGACCTTTGCAACTGCACAGTGTGGATAGCTGCAGAGGGAGATAAATAACAAAAGAAAGAGGGAAATCTTTCCTAAACAATCTTCCTCTCACACACCTGTGAGGGCTCCTTCTCTAACAAAAGCACAGCCGAGGATAGTAGGAACAAAAAGATAATTAGGAGCTAAGAAGAAAAGGCTAAAGAGGAGACTTGGAGTCCACGCTCTATCCCTCCATTCATCACTCCGTCCCTCCTTCTCTCATTCCCACCTGTGAGGATTAATTGGACCGGAGCAGAATGGCGCACGCTGCCTCGCAGCTGAAGAAAAGGGCGGATGAGAACCTCACCGCTGCGGAGGATGAGAAGGAGAAGAAGAAGGCAGCGAGGAAGCGTTCCCGCGAAGCAAAGAAAAAGGTAGAGAAAGAGGAGGGGGGGAAAGGACGAGGAGTTTGGAGGGAGAAAAATTACAAGACAGCTGAAAGAGGAAAAAAGAGGGACAGTAGCGGAGGAATGAGAACACAGAGCTGACACAGGGGAGAGAGAGAGAGAAAGGCTTTAGACGTGTCGGTCTAGTGGAGTCTAGGAGGTTCTCTTTTGTCATGATGCAGCCTCCACGCACATACACACACTCATACATGCACATACACATGTGTGTGACAAGAGCGGTACTCCCCTTGGGAATACCGATGGGGGGGGTGGGAGGATGAAAAAGACAGAGAAAGATGGATGAGAGCGCAGACAGGGAAGAAAAGAAAAGATAATGGGAATCAGCTATGGAGGACAGATTGGTATTTTAGGCAGTGGTGTTGCTATTAATATGTTGCGTGTATGTGAAAGAGACAGAGATGATCGCTCGTACTATAAATGATATGTTTCTGATGGACATGTGAAACACACTTGGTTGACATCATTGTTGTAATGATACTTTAGTTCTTCAGAGAATCACACACACAAGTTGTTTTTTTGTTATAAAACCACATTATATGTTCACATTGTCCTCTTAGACAGGATGCTGGTTTATGTGCCCCGCTCCGTTTCCATGTTAACTTTCATGTATGAAAACATTTTTCTTTATGCCATCACACTGTACATCCCACCTCCCCTGTTTCATCCCCCTCTGCTGAAAATAATTGCTGTTTTGTCTTCAAACATGATGTGAAAGGTGTCAGTTCAGGGGAGGAACCTGCAATGGAGCCAAAAGCGTCAGCAGTCGCACCCTGCGGTTAGCTGTGTGTTGTTTGTTTGTGTGTGTGTGCACATACGTCATTGTGCAAGGACAAAGTTAAGACTTGATCTCGGACACACACAAACATCCATAAAATGATCAATAGGTCTGACTTGAAATCAATAACCATCCTCACTGCAGTGACAAACCATTTCAGCTGAAGTCGACGTTGATATACGGTTCAGTGTTTGAATAACTTTGTTGTCTAAGTGTGATTGGCCCAGCGCATCAAATCATTTGTGTTTGAGTATGTACATGCTGACATTTGGGCGTGTGTGTGTGTGTGTGTGTGTGTGTGTATGTACATGCTGACTAGCCTGAGGCCATCATTAGTCCAGGGTTAGCCACCTGTCACAAAGAGTCAATACAGTGACCTCATTAGCATGAAGGTCAAAATGAATAGAGCGGTCACTTCCTGTTCCCAGAGGAAGTCAAGGTTGTTGTGAGGCAGTAGTTGCACCAAAGCAGTTGGGGCCTAATAGTCTGTCCGTTTGTGTGTGTGTGTGGGGGGGGGAGGATTTCATAATGGGAGAATTTTCGGAGGTCCTGGATGATTTAACAAAACGTTGGACTTTTGACTTCGGTTACTTTTAACTATGACTGCCATCAATTCATAACCTTAACCTTCGGTGGTTATTATTATAACCATGGTGCTTAAAAGTGGTTTAGTGACTACAGAGTATTGATATTTCAATGTGGATTTCTTTTTCTCAGAGTCAAGAAAATCATAAAGAATTTGTTATTAATCCCATTCAGGCGCCTGCAATGATTTTCACCAGTATTTTAAATTACATTACAACTAAAGTTTGACTCGAGTATGGATTTAAAGACTTCATGTTGGATGTGTAATGGATATACTGCATAATGACGTGCTTCCATCAAACACCGAAAGGAATTTCAATGTTGACAGTGACAAATCAGGATGACATGCATGTGACCAGTAATGGAAGAGAAAGGTTTGACCTTGAAGCACGAGCTGATATTTGAGCCTGTGTGATCAGAGTTTATGGTTTCCCTTTTAAGGCAACAGGTGAGGGAAACGTGTTGCTGTAGTATTATGTGTATAGGGTGACATCAGCAGTTTCTCTGTGTTTGTAGAGCGATGTCGTAGGCAGGGTATCGGCTATCCTGGGCTCACTCAAGGTAAATCTATAACACTGTCTGCCCTGGGCCCTCTCTTGGCACCACGGCGCAGAAAATATCCTCTCCCTCCTCGGATCACATCACCTCAATTACTTTTCTTTTCTTTCCTCACTTAAGCTCACCCCACTTCTTTGTCTCCGTACCTGGCTTGTTTTTTTTGTCCTTTCAGACAATGTAGATTTAACTACGCTACACTAGATGTCAGAGTATCTCCCTCTATCACGCTTTCCTTCCCGAAAGTTACACAAGAAAAGCAATATCAATTTCATATCTGTGTGTTAAGTACAGAGTCGGAGTCAGGACATGTTAGCATAGCTTAGGGTAAAGGCAGAAGGGAGGCTCTGTCCAAAGTTTCAAAAGTGAATCCTCTGATACTTTTTTTTTTTTTAACCCATACATGAGCAGAAATGTAAAAATTACAATCTGAGATCTTAGGGAGAGTTGCGGAAGTATTTCTAGGCTAACGCCAGTTTGGGCTCCAGGTATTAGCGTGGTTTTCCAGATGGGAGACTCCAATGTGAGGATCAAATGAGTGATGGGTATGGGTATGACGGCATTTTTGAGACAAGTTGGTGAAAGTCTAATGCTGGGTGACAGACCCATACACAGATTTTGAAGGAAAACTTTGTGGTAAAATTAATTATAATACAGAAATTGGAACTTACGACTTTAAAAATGTTTTCAAGAATATTTAGGAGGGGTGTAGTGTCATCTTTTTGAAGTGAAGTTAGCTTGCTACAAGACTTAATACTTTTTAATTTATTATTTATCTCTCATAATCAGTGTTTTTACATTTGAAAACATCAGTGAGCACAGGATTGTTTACCAAGAATAGTTCCAGCACATGATCACAAATTGTGATTTTATTTTTATTATTTCATTTGAATATGTTTCTACATTTTTTTTTTTAAAGACAGATTAAACAAGCAAGATACAATGTTGATTACAGTGTGCTTTAGAGGAGATGGTAGGCATTTTTTCTTGTATTTCATTTAGTTTAATTAGTACACAAACTAAAATGTAATAGCAAAAACAAAATACTATAACTTTGCTTGGTTGATTACTCTTCTTTCTGAATTGAGTCATTTTTCTATCTTTGGGCCTCCCTGCCTTCGCACTGTATCATGTATACACATTCATGCTACATTATGTGTAATATCTTTCCTTTCATTCTTTACCTTTTATTTTAAATTGATTTAGTTGTGCATTCCACGTTCTATGCATCCAGTGACCTACACTATGTTCAATATGGTGTGTTTATGGTTCTTACGGGAAGCTGGAAAACAAAAGTCATGCATTATGAGCTCCATTGAGACCAATTCACAGTGAAGATTCCATTAAAGCTATTAGCTGAAAGCTTCACATGAACATGTACTATTGAACGAGCCATGCTATGCTTTAAAGCTGCAGTGCAAGAACAAGTTGTGTCTCTTGTAGAACTGTAGTCACGCTTGGTTGGCCGGCCAGTAATTGACTAGTTCACTATTGGTAGGCTGATTTATTTACTCGGTAAGAGTCTGTCTGTCTGCTTGTGTGGGTGACTGGCTTGATGTCTGGTTAATGCTCTGCTTTATTTTTGTCTCTACTGATAGTCTGACTACAGCACAAGCTTTTTCTCAGTGGATTCGTTGAGTAATCGGATAAGAAATACTTTCTCATGCCTCCCCCAGTACCGGGATCAGCTGTGTAACTCATTTCACTGTAATGTTAAGCCAAACCACAAGTCAAGTAAGCAAACAAGCCAACAGATATTTTTGGGGGTAAATGTTGGCGATCCGGTTATAATTTGCCAATTTTAAAGAAGAGCAAGAAGCGGTCAAATGTTACGATAATCATTTCCAGAATGGCTGTGTTTGATTTGAGACACTACCTGTTGAAATTCACACACTACGCAAGTAAATACATAGTATACACAGTGAACTACATGTAAGTGTACTAACAGAAGTATCCTAACTGAAACACAGCAACAGTCTTTAATATGCAGTGCATGTTGGGGCATTATCTTCTATTCCTACGGTTTGAAGCATCACTCATTTTGAAATGTGTAGCACAAATATTGATATTTGTGCAAAAAGCCATGTGTGAGCTGACCTTCCAAGGCAATAGAAGAGGGTAATATTGCTGTCATAAGGGACTAAAACTGGCAAAAGGACAAAGTGTGTATAACCAAATGAGCGTTTAGGCAGAGAAGTGTAATGAAATCGCTTGCCTCAGCCAGACTTGTTGGCATCATATCCCTTCTCCCACTTGTTTCCTTTATCATTTTGGACCTCATGCTTTTAGTGATGGTGTGACTCAGACTCTGAGGCAATTTGTGGCAGTATCACCTCACCTCTATTCTGTCCTTTGTCTTAAACCACACACACACAGGTGCACACTCACACAAGTACATGCACACACTTAGAGAAAATGAAAGAGCAGTATAGACGCAAATGCAAATTTTTAAACTTGCGTGCGTTATGACATACATTATATTAATACATTTTAATATTTATTGAGTATTAGTATAGGGAGTCACAAATGAGTTTGAGTTTATTTATGCACATTTTAATATCAAAGTACAAAAAATAATGCAAATTATGAAATGGGGGAGAAAAAAAAGACGGGATGGGATTATGCTAAATCAAAATCAGAAATAATTTATTTATTATCGAATTATATGAAATGTTTTTATCGTGATAACATTTTTGGCCATATCGCCCAGCCCTACCCTTAGGGGACATTCTTGTGTCACAGTTGCTCACATTGCACTTTAAAGTCTAACATCTAAACAAAGATCATATACAGGTTAAAGAGGTCTCTTATTTTGAAGTGAGAGGACAATTAGCGATTGGGGGATGGCAACACTGCTTATTTTGGGGAAGGACCCAATTCTGGCTTCTTTTTTTCATCTGCAGCCTCCACTCTGCTCCCCCATCCTATCTCTCTTTATGTTCCTCTTTCCATCCCTTCACTGCTCTGTCTTTCAATGCCCACCCCCCAAAACCCCTCAATCTCTCTGCATCTCTGTCAGCTGGCAGAAAGGCTGTATTGTTCTGCCACACTT